AGATTACCTCTTATGATCGAAGATCTAGAAGCAAGATTTGGAAACCTTGTTCTAAATTGAGTCACTCCACAATTGAACTTGATCAAGGCTTGATTGAATGACTCGGATGCAATTCTACCACAAGAATTGCTTGAAACTTAGAAAGGGCAAATATGATGCTCGGATTTCTAAGGGAAACGTCTCAATTTGAGATCTGAATTACGTTCATCCATCAATCTGATTTTTACATAACATATTGAGGGTATTTATAGTCTCCCGACAAAAGACGTTTGTGGCCGGGATTCAATCCCGATCCCCTTTAATCTCCATAAATGACGAAGTCAATTTTGACCAATTGACCATTGCAAAATGAAAACAAAAAACAATAAAATCTTTCAATAAATGTTGATATGTTTGAGTGGCTAAAGAAATAAACTTGAATTCTATTAGGCTTCACTCGTGTAGGTTCAAATCCTGTTGTTGATATTTTTTATCAAATTTTGTAGATGAAGAATGAATGTTTGTATGTTTGTTGAATCTTATTCGCCTTGGATCGTGTGTCCAATTGGAACATTTGGAACACCATGATTCTTACCATCAAATCTAGAAGAGTACCTTGAATGGGAGAAAACGGTGGAGTCGGCAACTGTCATAATTTTAGTGATGAAAAGAAGGTACTCAAACAATATGCTCAAATTTGGTGGGATAAATTGATGTCAAGTAGGAGAAGAAACCTTGAAGCACCAATTGATTCATGGTACGAGTTCAAAGAGTCCATGAGGAAGCGTTTTGTTCCACAATATTTTCAATGGGACATGGCGCAAAAGCTTCAAGCATTGAAACAATGACACAAATCTGTGGAAGATTATTACAAGGAGATGGATACATTGATGGATCGACTTGATCTCGATGAGGACATGGAGGCTCTCATGGCGCGGTTTTTTAATGGGTTAAACACAGAGATTGAGGACAAGACTGATTTACAGCCTTATTCTAATATTGAGGAGTTGTTGCACATTGCAATTAAGATCGAGAGGCAAATCTAACGAAGGTCAAAATGGTATTCTTGTAAAACTTTTCCCAATTCTACTTCTACATGGAAAGAGGATAGTAAGAACATTAATTATAAGCATAGAAATCAAGAGTATGAGAAGACTCAATCTAAATTTGAGAAAGGGGAGAGTTCTAGAACAGAGAAAGAAAAAGTAGAAAAGTCTAATGTTCAAAATAGAGATTTAAAATGTTGGAGATGTCAAGGGGTAGGACACTATAGTAGAGATTGCCCAAATGCAAGAATTATGACCATCAAGGAGAGAGAAATTGTTACGGATGACGAGGCACATGACGACATAAACGAGGAAACTAATGAGAGTGAGGAGTTTAGTGAAGAGGACCCTACACATATATCTTTGGTTACTCGACGAGCTCTAAACGCCCACATTAAGGAGGACGGCCTAGACCAACGGGAGAACTTATTTCAAACTTGGTGTCTTGTTCAATCTGTACCTTGTAGTGTTGTCATTGATAGCAGTAGTTGCACTAATGTTGTGAGTTCCATTCTTGTCAAAAGACTTAATTTAAAGACACAACTACATCCACGACCCTATAAGCTTCAAATGATCATGGGGAAGTACGGGTAACTCAACAAACTCTTGTTTCTTTTACTATTGAAAAATATGTTGATGATGTTTTATGTGATGTTGTATCCATGCATGTTGGAGATTTACTACTGGGGAGGCCTTGGCAATTTGTTGGGTAATGTATGATGGGTATGTAAATCGGTACTCTTTTACTCACAACGGTAGAAAAAGAGTGAAAAGCAAGGGAGTAACACTCAGCCTATTGAAAAAAAAAGAGAAAAGCACAAATGCTTCTTTTAATATATTTTCCAAATCTCGTTACAAATACAACGTACATGTCTTTATATAGCCTCAAAATGAAACTACTAAAGGCATTACAAGAGTCGTAACATTGATACTTAATGGCCATAATTAACCCTTATGTAATTGTAACCTAAAATAAACAAAAAGTTTTAAAATATATTAATGAAATACAATAACTCTAAATTTAAATTCAACCCAAATTTATAACAAGAAACTTCGTTCTTCTTCAATATGACATGAATTGAAATATCTTTTGATAACTTCGACAATATTTTCTTCACATCTTCATTGAAGTATATNGGAAAAGTATGGAATGGATTACCTTGATGATCAAGATCAAGAGTAAAGAAAACTCGTTTCTAAACTCGTGATTCGAATCACTCCACAAGAGGTTTGATCAATACCAGTTGAATGACTCTAGGATGCAAGTTCTAAACACAATAATTTGCAAAGAAAGTTTAGCTCTCAACAAAGCTAAAATAGAAATTTTATTCCTAATTCCAAAATCTNGTGACATGAATTGAAATATCTTTTGATAACTTCGACAATATTTTCTTCACATCTTCATTGAAGTATATTGTATGATGGATGTCTCTTGGTTCATATCATTCTCCACTTCTTCAAGAGGATTCGTCCTCAAATCTATTTGTGAAACTTTGCTGCAAAAAATTAGTTATGGAAATACAAAGGACCTCACAACAATCTCTCACAAGTATACACTCAAAGAATTTTAGGCCACTCTTTTTTGCACTCATTTACACAAATGAAGCTCTCATTCTCACCTCTCAAAATTTTAAATAGAGTAAAGATTGAATTTTAAACTCTAGGTCGATTAAAAACTAAAAAAATAAAAATAAAATTGAAAAGAAATGCAAAGGAAACATGTATCCGATCTTGAGCCTGAATCTCTAATACCAAATGATAAGATAAGGAATCAACTACAAGGGGAATAAGATTCGGATTACCTTGTTGATCGAATATTTCAAGGCAAGAACACTTGTTTGAGATTCGAATCACTCCACAAGCAAGATCGATCATGTCTAGCTTGANAGAAAAGAAGGCTTTATATAGCTTTTACAACCTTAACCTTAACCTATGTGATACATAACTCCCAAATTAAATGAGCTAGTAAATGAGAAATACTCTTAACCTCCATATTAAAATGGCTAGTTAATGGTGGAATATAGTAACGTATGTGGGTTACAATATAACCTTTAACTCCTGTATTTAAAACTAGCTTAAATTTGACAAACAAATAGTTAAACTATAATTAAATAATGCAATTAATAAAATGTGCTTATTAGTCATCCTTGGACTAGTTTCATAAATTAAGTGGAGTTCATTAAATGCAACTTAAAGTGCATTTAATTCATCTCTTTCTTGAAGCTCAACTTTGCATAACATATAAGGGAGGTCTCCAACGTCTTCTAGAATTTCCTTTGATGAGCTCACCATAGCTTGAATATAACTGTATAAGGTTTGTTGTAGCTTTTTGGCTCTCGTCCTTGTAATTGGACCTTGAGGTATGGAAATCCCTTGGTCATGGTTCATTTCAAACAAGGTAATCCGAATCTTACTCCCCTTGTAGTGATCCCTTATCGTATCATTAATGAAATACAAAGGACCTCACAACANTTAATGGCCATAATTAACCATTATGTAATTGTAACCCAAAATAAATAAAAAGTCTTAAAATATATTAATGAAATACAATAACTCTAAATTGAAATCCACCCCAAATTTATAACAAAAAACTTCATTCTTCTTCAATGTGGCATGAATTGAAATATTTTTTTATAATTTCAACAATATTTTCTTCACATCTTCATTGAAGTATAATATATGATGGATGTCTCNTCATTCTCACCTCTCAAAATTTTAAATAGAGCAAAGATTGAATTTTGAACTCTGGGTCGATTAAAAACTAAAAGGATAAAAATAAATAAAAATCAAATTGAGAAAACACGCAAAGGAAACATCTATCCGATCTTGAGCCTGAAGCTTTGATACCAAATAATAAGAAAAGGAATCTCTACAAGGAGAGTAAGATTCGGATTACCTTGTTGATCNACAAATCACACTCCAAAAAACAAATTGGGATGTGAGACAAGCTATGTTATAGAGCTAAGTGCAATTCAAAATGAATAGACAGCACACTCAACACGTAAACAAGGGTATTAAAGGAGCAATTCGAATAATGACTAAGAAACGAATTAAAGAAAGAAAATGATTAAAGACTAATTTAGATGTAGTAACAAATGAGAGTTACANCAAGAACATTGTTTCAGATTCGAATCACTCCACAAGCAAGATCGATCATATCTAGCTTGAATGGTTCTTGTTGATCAAATATCTCAAACACTTGTTTGAGATTTGAATCACTCCACAAGTAAGATTGAGCATGTCGAGCTTGAATGATTCTACATGCAACCTAAACTACATAGAATTGCATATAAACTTAGCCATTAGCTAAAGAAAGCACAAATGCTCCTTTTATATATATATTTTCCAAGTCTACTTACGAATACAATCATANGTAACAAATGAGAGTTACATATAATAATCAAGAGGAAAAAAGAGAGACATTTAACATCAATAAGCTTTCTTTCTTTCAATGGTTTTGGCAAAATCTAATTAATTTACCAACAAGAAAATTGATTTAGACGATCTTAAAGAAGAACAAAGTGTTAATAAGATCCAGATCTAACACTTTAAAGAACATAAGAAATGTTTTTTTTTTTACAACTTTTGGAATATAGTAACGTATGTAGTAACAACATACATTTTTTTTTTAAGAGAATTAAAAGGGATAAGCGCAATGAAACATATATCCGATCTTGAGCCGGAAGCTCTGATACCAAATGATATGGAAATCAACTCAAGGAAAAGTATGGAATGGATTACCTTGATGATCANTAATTTTCTCTAACCTAATTAGTGACGTTACTTTATACTTGCATAATCAACAGAATAAGAGTTCACATAAGATAGTCTCAATAACAACAATGCGTTCATTATTATAAGCAGTTCATACCTGGGGAAGTTAATAACGACAACCTAACCTAGAAATAATCAATAGAGAACTAAAGGAAACAATTGCAATAACTATGAACCCAAAAGAATCCAACAAGGCACCTACGACACTACAAACTCTCCTCAAGATTTTCATGGCCTGCGCAGCATCCACCGTCAGCCGTACATGGGAGCCTTGCCCTTACCTGAAAATATGGGTAGCACGTGGCTTGAGTATTATATAAAATACTCAGTAAGTCGCCCCACTGTTGGGGTTAAGCACATAATCATACATCTGGATACAAGCAGTCGCACACAATACACATACATGTCGCAAACGATACACATACATGACGCACACAACATACATACATGTGGCACAGAATACCCATATATGTCGCACATAACAGTCATACCTATAGAACATAATAACCATACATAACACACATAATAACCATACATGTCGTACATAATGACCATATATGTCCTACATAATAACCATACGTGCTGCACAGTGTTAGAAGAACGAAGCTGAGAGAGGGGTCTGTCTTCAATTCCTTCCCATGGCCTTAGGCCCTTGCTTTGTCCGAGCGGGGGTGGATGCATGGTAGTTTCCCACACATGGCCCACGTCTGTGTCTGTGGGCCCACCAGGCGAGCTCGCAAGCGAACTCCCTGGGCCTGGCTTGGTCGGGTATGTATGTCATACAATACCGGACGCCACGGACAAAGGAGAGCCTGCATGTTATCGTGGCGAACACAATATCGAATATACGCATCCATACCATCAGTAGCATAACGAGGGAGTGCCCCAAGTACATAACCATAGCGTGCATGAGGTTCTTAAGGTTTACCTCCATGGCATTATACATTCAACGTTCCATCCCCTCGCCGCATTACATAGCATAACCGGATCCACATTGAGCAAGCATATCATAGCATAACCGCGTCCACATTGAGCAAGCATATCATAGCATACTAGTCATCTCATTCATGGCATGCGGGGTTCTCATTACAATCATGACATGTCAATCAAGCTCATCATACATACAGGCCAACACACCGTGTCACAACATCATATTCATAAACATGGCATACATAGCAATTCACTGCAAGAATCACATACATAAACATAGCATGCATAGTATTTCACTGCAAGAAACATCCAACCTAGCATACAGCAACAACATATGGTGCATGCAAGGGCCACAGGGCATGCACCAACATACATACATAACGAACACCAACAGTAAGGTTACTTACCTCCTTGGCCTTGGCCGAAGTCACCCATAATGCTAACTCCGGCGCCTAACTACCTTCTATAAGATAACATGATACACTTAGAGCACTTTCACAACTAGCTCTTATGCCTAGCTACCAAGGTACGTCTTTATCACAAGCTATTTTATCACAATGGAGTTACACTGACCTCAGATGGCTGAAACAAGGGTGGGAATGGCTCCAGAAGGGTCAAAAACCTAGAAATTGGTATACTGTTCGGATGTCGAGTCGTCCAACCGCGCTGCCAAGCCGCACTGCCGAGCCGACCTAGCCGAGCCGCCGGTGGAGCCGAAATCAATGGGCTACGAAGAACCCTAATGGCGTAGGGTTTCTAGGCGTGCCTCTAGTTTGGGCCGAAAAGGAACGAGGCCCAATGGTGGTGTCCGAGCGCGACCTACTAGGTGTGGGCTGCACGCTAGTCGAGACAGACCGTGGAATGCCGAGGGTCGACTCGTGCCCGCCGCTTCGTCTTCCTCGCCCGAACGCCTCAATAGCCCTAATCGCGAGCTTGGCTACTATCACCTACGGAAGCGTCGTCGTTCGTCCATCTCCGGTGGCGTGTCTGTCCCTCTTTGCTCGACGTACACTGGCGCCTGATCCTACCTAAAGCTCACGACGTTATTGATCTCCCAACCCGATTTGAAGTCTCACGACGTTTTCGATCCCTCACCTAAACCCTTCGACTCCTCCCTCACAGGTATGACAGTGACTCGAAAAGGAAAAGGCGGCTACTAAGGTACCCAGGGTTTAATACACATTAATACGCCCTGGTTGGCAAGGCATGACTCACCGGAAATCCCACGATTTCTAGCCAAATTTGAGGCGTTTCCCCTTCTTCTTCTTCTTTTTTTTTTTTTTTTTTGCCTTTTTGAAACCCTTACCATTACATCACCTCCCCCTACGGAGGACTTTCGTCTTTGAAAGTATCTGTATTCGAGAGCGACTCGAAGTACTATTCCCTCACCTCGTCCTCGTTCCCATGTGGCTTCCTCTGTTGGTCGAACAAGTTCTCAGTGCGCAGACGGGGACACTTGTCCTTCGCCGTTCTCTTATTCCACGCTTTGTAGTCGATCCGCCGACACATTCGAACCATCCCCTTTCTTGTAAGAGCCTATGCTAGCACGCACCCCCCTAACGCCAACACACCTATTCTAAAAAGTACACCATGTACGGTTCCTATCGGCTACCATTAAGCCTACATCTAAACTGACCCCAGATACTATTTACGTGATCATCCTTTACCCTACCTGCATCGATAATATCCACCCCTGTCGGTGTGCCCACCCAAAACTCTAAATTTTAAATAAAAAAATACAATAACTCTAAATTATATTAATGAAATACAATAACTCTAAATTGTAATCCACCCAAAACTTATAACATGAAACTTCATTATTCTTCAATGTGGAATGAATTGAAATATCGTTTGATAATTTCAACAATATTTTCTTCACATCTTCATTGAAGTACATTGTATGATTGATGTATCTTGGTTCATGTCACTCCACCATTTGTTACTCTACCAAAGTTATAAATGTCATACTTCGATTGGTCCATGGTGTCAATTTTGCCGCCGATCCATGATGTCAATTTTTCCGCCACACCATCACGTCGGGTATCTTGTTTTAACTGAAACTTTTTTGTTTTAGCTCTAATTTGAGTGAACCAAAAAAGACGATGAAATCATTATTCCCAACCTTACACTATGGACAAAATACTGAGAATTGTTAATAATTGAACGTAGGTTTGTTATCATCAAAGCATCAATTAATTAATTTGATAAGCGCCAACAATGCTAGACTTTTTGCAAAGCTAGAGGTCCTTCTAGAATCTTTGCAAAATGTTCACAGAGAAAGCTAACTTAACGGATTGATTTCAACCAAGAGCTGGTTAGAAGATGAATGACTCTTAGATCGAACTTGGAATCTATGATGGTCACTCTTAGATACCAAGACAATTCACTCTAGAATTAGCTTGATCAAAACAAATTCAATGAATCGGTTTGAACATCAAACCTAAAGCAAGGTTTGAAAAAGAATAACACCAAAAGGGTATCAAGAAAACACAAAGGTTTTGTCTATATTCAACAATTCATCTTCAAACATGAATATTACATGCCTTTAAATATACCCAAAAGATAACCCTAACATAATAAAGTTCAACCACCAACTACAACTGCTATAAATAAAAATTGAAGAAAATAAGGCATTCATACAAACTACTAATAAATGCTAATAAATACAAATTGAAGAAAATAAGGTATTCATAAATTGTCTTAATTGGTAGTTCAACTACCAAAGGAAAGTCTTTTAATCACTTTCTAATGTCAGCCACTCCATTATTTTCTTGATTTGATACTTGAATCTTCTTTGTATTGCTTCTTGTAATTGCTCGTTCGGGTACATGGAAGTGATCAGTTGTTGGATTCATATCATAATTACTGTAGCATATTATTGTAGCATCCCCTCTGGCGTCAATCAATGAATGATGAATTTCAGGCACTTCTTAAAAATAAGACATGACACTTAGTTCCTCATCGTGCTGGTTCTAACATTATTAATTCCAAATGGGTTTTCAAACTTAACCAAAAGCCAGATGGCTCTATTGATTGCTACAAAGCATGTTTGATTGTTAAAGGGTTTAAACAACCATATGACATTGATTATGATCATGCCTTTAGTCTAGTTGTGATAAGATAAGGAATCAATACAAGGGGAATAAGATTTGGATTACCTTGTTGATCGAATATCTCAAGGCAAGAACACTTGTTTTAGATTCGAATCACTCCACAAGCAAGATCGATCATGTCTAGCTTGAATGATTCTTGTTGATCAAATATCTCAAACTCTTGTTTGAGATTCGAATCACTCCACAAGCAAGATTGATCATGTGGAGCTTGAATGATTCTACATGCAACCTAAACTACATAGAATTGCAAAGAAACTTAGTCATTGGCTAAGGAAAAGCACAAATGCTTCTTTTACTATATTTTCCAAGTCTACTTACAAATCCAACATACATGGCTTTATATAGCCTAAAAAATGAAACTATTAAAGGCATTCCAAGAGTTGTAACATTCATACATAATGGGCATAATTAGCCATTAGGTAAATGTAACTAAAGTAAATAAAAAGTCTTAAAATACAATAACTCTAAATTGTAACCCATATAACAATAAAACTTCTTTCTTCTTCAATGTGGCATGAATTGAAACATCTTTTGATAATTTTGACAACCTTTTCTTCACATCTTCATTGAAGTATATTGTATAATTGATGTTTTTTGGTTCATATAAAGTTGTTAAGCCTACTACCATTCAGCTCTTATTATCCCTTGCTATTTCTCGTGGTTGGGCCATTTGGCAGGTTGATATTCAAAATGCTTTTCTTCATGGTTTTCTTAATGAAGATGTTTATATGAAGCAGCCCCCTAGATTTGTGGATTCTCAACATCCTAGTTATCTCTGCAAATAAGCTGGATAAGTCGCTTTATGGCCTCAAACAAGCTCCGCGTGTCTGGTTTTCTCGCCTTAACTCCAAACTATTACAGCTTGATTTTACACCTTCAAAGGCCGATGTCTCTCTGTTTCATTTTTAACAAGATGGGCATTCAGATGTATATCCTCATCTATGTTGATGACATTATTATCATCAACTCATCTTCTATGGCTATTGAGAAACTTCTTACACAGCTTCTGGATAATTTTGCTGTCAAGGATCTTGACATTTTGAGTTATTTTCTTGGGATTGAGGTTTGTCATATTTCCAATGGACTTGTTCTGACACAACATAAATACATTCAAGATTTATTGTCTAGAACCAATATGCTCACCTCTAAAGGTGTGGCCACACCTATGCTTCCTAGTGAGAAGTTGTTATTGGATGGTGGTGAAAAGCTCTCGCCTGAGGATACTACTCGCTATCGGAGTCTTGTTGGTGCTCTCCAATATTTGTCTCTAACACATCCTGATATATCCTTTTGTGGCAACAGAGTGTGTCAGTTCATGTCCTCCTCGACTTCTATACATTGGGCGGCGGTCAAACGAATTCTCAGTTATCTACATGACACTATTGATATGGGCTTGTGTCTTTCAAAGTCCAGCATTCATTTGCTGAGTGCCTTCTGCGATGCTGATTGGGCCGAGAATCCTGATGATTGTCGAAGCACTAGAGGCTATGCAATCTTCTTTGGTGGCAATCTTATCTCTTGGAGTTCAAGGAAACAATCGACAGTTTCTCGTTCTAATATGGAGGCCAAATGCAAGACGGTTGCTGATGTCACTGCTGAATTAATTTGGATCCAAGTCCTCTTGCGTGAGCTCGGGATCTCGCAAGCGTGAGCGCCTAGCTTGTGGTGTGACAACATTGTGCCACCAATCCAATCTTTCATCGACGAACGAAGCATGTTGAGTTTGATTATCACTTCGTTCATGAACGAATATTCACTCGTCAGCTTGATGTGCAACTCATATCTTCCAAGGATCAGCTCGCAGATATCATGATAAAGCCACTGTCAACTCCTTCTTTTAGCAGTTTTAGGTACAATTTAAACTTAGTAGTAGATCTTCGAGTTTGACGGGGTGATAAATGTAGAATAGGTCATATTTATACATGGTAAGATAATTTATTAATTTACTAGTTGTTATCATGGATCAAGGAGAATCTATAATTTCCTAGTTTGTTACCATGGATAAAGGCCCACCATGTAATCCTCATTATACACGTCTATAAATACATGAGGTGGTGACCCAAAAAGGTCACAGTGCCATTTAACCTAACATGGTATCAGAGTGTCCTAAACTTAGCCATGTCAATAGAATCATCAAATGTTGAACAAAGGACTTCAAAATAAAAGGAGTTGAGGCTCCTCCAAGCCATAGCAAAAAATGACTATGACTCCAAAAAGAAAAGGAGTCAAGCCTCGATTAAGGGAAGGTGTACTTTGTTCTATGGGAGGTGTTGGATGAAAGTCCCACATCGGCTAATTTAGGGAATAATTATGGGTTTATAATCAAAGAATACTATCTCCATTGGTGATAAGGCAACCCTAATCCTCAGCCCAACGATCTAAGCTTATGTTGAAGCAAGAACCCTTGAATCAAAGTAATTAACACCTCCTTATACGAGATTTGGAAACCTTGTTCTAAATTGAGTCACTCCACAATCTAACTTGATCAAAGCTTGATCAATGGCAACAATCTAACTTGATCAAAGCTTGATTAATGGCTCGAGTGCAATTCTACCACAAGAATTGTTTGAAACTTAGAAA